AAAAAAAATTATTCGTTTCAGTTCTAAGAATTTTAGAAAGCGAGTTTTTGACTAATGTGAAAATGAGCCGACGGTTCAGAAAAACTAATTTTGTGCAGACAGAGATAAAGCAGTCTCTTCTATCGATGTTTCAAATTCTCAACTATTTAAGTTCACTCTTTAGCTCTTAAGAAACTATCGGCGTTTTCTGAGTTGACGAGGGTTTTTACACTTTCTATCCTTCAACCTCCTTGAGTTCAAGACTCAGAAAAATCTATTTTTGGAAGAAAATCCTTGCAATATTCTTTTCGTACTCGATGCATATACGATACGATTTCCTCTTGCGAGTTTAAGCAGTTTCTCACCACAAACGTTTCATTTCTTTTTTACACAAACACAAAATGGTACAACAGTTCTGCAAACATATTCGTCATCTCGCATTCTATACTATAAAACGAGTTCGACGTCATGGTTCTCCTCGTGCTTTCCGATTTGACCGTTTGTATATGTTCTCTTGTGTCAGCTAAAGATGCTCGTCAAACTTCTTATGATTTAATAACATCTTAGAGCGCTTGGTAATGGTTCAGTCACTTACGCCATTTCATTCACAGCCGATCTTTTTTGACCGCGAAATAGCTGTTAGTCAAAAACAAGAAGAATCTAGCGATGAAATTAAGGATGTTATTTGGCGGTGTCTAAATCCTAGTTACCTAGCATCGACTACCGTTACAACGGCTTTTTTAAAACTAAATGAAACTAAATTTAAAAACTTAATAAATTAAAACTTAATGACAAAGCTAAAGCTGTTGCTAATGATCAATCTCTGGAGAATGCGTTATGCAGTTCACTTCATTACCCATCGCTAGAAGTGACTAAATACATATTTGGGTTATGCAATGAGCAAGTCAGTGCTGCTATCCACCCAAATAGGTCTGGTAACAATCTTCCGACGTTGGAGAGATGAACGGCTTAGTGAACCCGGGGCGTGGGATAAAACCAATGACCGCGTGTATACTGCAAGTTACCTCTAACCACTGCGCTACACGTGCACCCAACTTGTTGAACAACTGGGATTACATAATCTGTTCATGTATAGAACCTCTAAGAAAACAACAGTTGGTATATCGAAAATAAATGTATAACGAAATTGTAATCTTTTGAATCGCATGGTCATATAAACCTTTGCTATTTGACAATGAACTCGATTTCCTTTGTGGAACCATCATGTTTGTTCAAAGTGTATCAACATGTAAATCTTTCACTACACGTGATGTTTGAACAAATTCTGAACTGTCGAAAAAACACTTTAGATTTTGACAGATGTTTTGACTAACGATTAAGAATGAATACGACACTTAAGAACCACGCTATTCAAACAGAGTAGACGCCCACTCACATTATGAATAGAGCAGCTAAACTTTGAAATTGCTTTCACGTGAAGGGATGAGTAAGAGAAAGTTCATATGGATGATAAATGTCTCTATATGGAAAACTGGTACAGAATTATAAATAGCATAGGTACAGTAATATAAGTAGTAAGTATAAGAACTTCATAAAAAAGATATTTGGTGACTTTCAATGCTTCTTCGGTAGAAGATGTCTGAAGAACGAAAGTATTCAATAGCAATTCGTCCATAAGGTTAACATGAGATAAATGCGAAGAAAAGGTGTATAGCAGCACGACAGTCGCATAAGTTTAGACTTTCTCGGACCGTGAACACGGCAGAACTAATGTGCCGGATGGGTCTTGAAGGATAGACCATAGAAGAACTAGAAGACTGAGTAAGAGTAGAAAAGCTGACGGAAAAAAATACGAGTACAAATATAGTGTTTCCTCCAGTCAGTTTGCTCACAATAGGTTTTTTATTGGTTTAACGCCTAACGAACAATCGAGAGGAATTCTGATCAATCTCTTTCGATAACTATCCCGTATTTTTACGTCTTTTACGTAAAGTCGCTAATGAAGTTATCGCAAATTTAAAACTGTGCCGTAATATTGGGAGCGCATCTAGCGCAGTGGTCACATCGTGATTGGTTCGAGAAGGCGTTCTGCATACACACGTCGTGATTGGTTCGATCTCGTACCCGGTCTCATTAAGCCTTCTAATTCGCCGGGGTCGACAAATAGGTACCAGACCTGTCTAGGAAGATAGTAGCACTGGCCCGATATAGCGGTAGACCAGCACGAGTCATTGTAAAAGTTAGACATGCATTCATTAACTTCTAACGATAAAGACGAATGCACATCACATCCATCAGAGATTGACCAGCGCTGAAAGTTTTATGTTGATCTTTATCTTTAGTGCAATATCGACGCTTTGCGTCCATAATTTCGAATACCTAAATAAACACAGTGTAACAACATCTCATTTCACTTTCATTAATAGAACAAACATGATTAGCTTGACGAATTTTTTTTACAGTATGATTCACTTGGTAGAACACCAAAACAGATTATTTCACTGGATGCTAACAAGAAATTTAGAAAAGTTTTATCCCAAAACTTGAACCTCGTTGAATGTAGAAACTAGGTGGCAAGATTCAATAAGAACATCCTTCAGAAACTGCTGACCACGTTCTTAGGATACCAGAAGGACAACAAGAAAGTTGTTCTACTGGAGCAATCGCCCAACTTGTGTCAACGAGTCTTCTTCATGAGGCGGATCGTCCATTGTGAGGCTAACGTGACGCGTGAGAAAAGCGAGGTTAAACGAGAATCAAAGCTGTAATACAGATACCCGATAAAAACACAGATTTACTCAAGATATGAGCACCTTGTCTCCACTGTAAAACGACAGAAAGAAATTTCTATTGATACTGAATAAGCAGATGATGAGTGGAATTAATCGGATATATGTACTACAACTTTAAATATTGAACTTGTTTAGAATTCTATCTTGGATTGCTGATCTCCGTCATAATGATGGGCGTCGTCACCTACACCGCATATGTACTTGGTCTCAGTTGGAATATTCTTCTAAACACATGGCCAAAATATCGAGAACATTGTCGAAAACCGTATCCAGAAATTGGCTATCGTGCAATGGGTCATTTAGTTAGGTAAGCGAAATTTTCTTCACGAATAACCCAAAATTTTAAACTTTTCAAAGCCAAAACATAGTAGACAAATAGCCAGATCTCGCTTCTTTAGAGCGATTTTTCTACTGCTCGCCTTTTATGGAATAAAACTGCTTGTAAGGTCGGTCATCGCATGTAAACAGGCAGTACTGCTTCATGAAAAAGCTATGACAGAAAACTGCCCAAGAAAGCGATGTCAATTGACATATAGACTAGTGAACTAAGCTTTATGCTAACGAAACTTTATCAGTTCATTAAAGACGGTTCGCAAATACTCAGTAATTTGGTGATCAGCACCGAGAGTAATACAAAGTCGATCTTTGGAATGATAACATCATTCTGTTTCTTATTCGTAAAACCGTATTGGCAAGTATATCGTAGGATATATGAATGAAATGAAATCTAGGGAAATTTCCTGAAACCTTTCATTGGTATGTAAGTTTCAAACAATCGTTGTTGCTATTACTAGTATTACTTACTGTTGCTGGTCACATCTACAACTCTATGAAGTCTTTAGGAAGCTCGTTTCTATATGCATTGACATCACTCAGTTCGGAATTGCTGTCGTTTACCTACTGTTATCTTCAAAAAACATTCACGACATGATTAAGGTATGAAGTTATATAAAATTGAGACTTAATGAATTTAACGTAATTGAATACAAACGTTTCCCTAAAATCCTTTACATAGCCTGGAAAGAATTAGAGAGGAAGAACTAAGCAAAAATTCTAACAGAGTTGTTAAGAAAACGAAAATATAAAATTTCCGTTGTTTAGGCCTTTTCAAACACCGAATTCAGCTATTGCATAGTCATCCTGATTTTGGCCTTATGTTTGTTGCCGATTACCTTCCTGAAATCGCCGCAGGACTTCTGGTTAGTTTGTTGTTACCGTACCACCATCGTATCTATAACAACGTTTCCAATAGTTGATCTATTTCAAGCCTCACTCACAGCTGTACTTTTCACATTTAAACAGAAGGCTAGACCACTCCCTTGTTGACAAACACAACAAAAAGGAGAGATTCTAGTGTCCACCATACTCCAGATGTTAACGTAAAATACCACTGTGAAAAACTTAAATGTTGATCCTAAATACCACGCGTGTCCATCCTTATAGCTAGCAGTAATCAATTGGTAAATCTCACAAACATATGTGAACTAGAGGTATCAAAGTTTAACTTCGTTACAAAAAGTTCTACTCAGAAACAGCAGATACGATATATTGACCTATAAAGCAAAAATAGCCCCTTCCCAGCAAATGAGAATGAGATTTAATGAGTCGCGTAAGAAGCACTACATGTGGTGCTGCTTAAAATACAACTTTCAAGAAGGAGCAAAAGATGAGCATGAGAGGTACAGTATAAGCGAGCAACCAAAGTTAGTGCATAACGTAATCCATCACGGTAAGCTGGGCAGCAACAGGAACGAATCAAATTTGCCAAGCATACACCTGCTACTTAGCTTGTGATACCCATCGATTTAAACAACCACAGATCACGGACCGACTGGTCCACAGTGAACTAGGTCGCCTGTAGAGAAATATTCATCATGTTGACTGCTTAACTATTCTCAGACGTGGGCCCCTATAATATCCGCATATTAATCCACGATTATACATCATCGCACCGAGAACATCCTACGAAACGGCAAAGCAGTAGAGCTAGGCCTCGTCCTTCTATAAAGCATCCCATTTTGAAAGAAACCTAAACATCTCTGCCTAGGTACGCAGCTAAGGGTTAGCCTATGCCATGGATTGCTGAAGGCAACAAGTCGAGAGACCTCTTTACGCGACAAGAGAGTTAGAAACCATTCTTGGAGAGGAATCTCATCTATTATTCAAAACGAATTTCTCGAATTTTCTCGAATTCCACAACACAAATTCCTCGCAATATTACAAAATTTTCCGAATTCCTTCAGATTAAACTGATAAAATTCCTCCACTAATCCTCTTATTTGATTAACTTGATAAGCAATCAAAAGTGCAACATGTCCTCAACACTTACTCGTGTTATAAATAATATGATAACAAATCGCTTCCGAAGATTACTGAGCGATGGAGGAATTTCTAAGAAAAAACACATGTGGCTTTGAGACAGAAGGTCGACGTTGACGCAGAAGGAAATAGAAGTGATGACATTCCTTCTATCGCCTAGCTACCGTTCAAAAGCACAGCACTGTAACTTCATCAGTGGAATGATATCAGTAATCGCTAAAAGCACTAGAAAAACATTGCGAGTCCATTTAGAACCTAAAGTAAATTTAACTGTTCAGGTGGGCGGTTGTGATTGCTATGATAACTACGTCATGTGCCGTAGTGCTCATCATCATTGGATCATCACTTGATTATGAACTTTGCTCAAGTCATACGTAAGTACTGCATTATTGGTTTACTCTTCACTTACATAATAAACTAACCAAGCTGTAAGTTTTTAAAACTCTCACTCATAAAATTACTAGACTAAAAAATCATCAAATGAGAAAACTTTATAAACTATTAGAGTAGAATATAACTCAAGTTATAGTAGATTGTTCGGAAATTAATGGCGGATTCCAATCCTTATTCTAAAGACAGTGTACCTCAGCCCAGAACAAAATCTTGATAAACAATATAAAGTCCATTAAAACCTGCAATTTTTTGGTAACAAGAAACAAGTCTACTACTTATATGGGCTGCATAAAAGTTTGGTATCCAGGAAGCGATGTCACTGAAGGCTGTTTCAGCTTCACCAAATTTCTGAAGCATTCCTCGAAAAGAAGGTTGTTGAAATTATTGAAGAAATGGTAGATGATAGGCCAGAGGTCTGGCGAGTATGAAGTTTGAATCAGAATTTAGTAGCCTTGCTCGTACAACCTTTGCAACGTCGTAAGTCTGACGTTTGACTGCGCCTTACCGTAGGGAATGACTGGTTCCGATCTGTTGATCAGTGTTGAGCACAGCCTTGGAAGTTTCCGGTGCACATTGTGGATTTGCTGGACGTACTTCATCCCCAATGTCGTCGTTCACGGATTCAGGAAACTGTGGTGGATCAAACCAGTTGCTGACCACCAAACTGTCAGTATGATCTTCTTTTGATATAATTCCTGGCTTTGGGAAGTGCTACGGAGCTTCATCACGGTGGAACAAATGAGCCGATTCGTCGCCGGTTGTGAAATAGGATCCATTTCTCGCCGGCCGCGGACCATAATAAAATTTGAGAAATAGGTTGTTCTGCTTGCGAAGAATAAGCGAAAAAAAAATACTTCGAAATAGTTACTTTGTTTGTCATTCAATTTGTGCGGCATTGCATCGTTCAGCTTCTCCGCCTCTCTGACTTTTTCCAGATATTTTGAAACAATCCGGATGCTTATAACGAGTAATTCTGTAGGTTCTAGAAGGGTTATGCTTGTATTTGCTTGCATGAAAGCCTTAAATTCGAAGTTACCAATAGTAAAAAGACGTCTGTAACCTTCCTCATCTTAAACGTCGAATTTGGTACCGCGAAATTTTCGAAGCCAACTTCGCACTTTGTGTTCACTAACACTCACTCGGCCCCCATAGCACAATAACGTTCCGAGTCCTACATTCGAGTTTGAAGCTGTTTTGACATCTTAAACTCTAACCCTTAAAATTCCTCAAAAATACGATTTATTTCGTAATTCAGTTATAAGTAGTGAAAAAGCATTAAATGACCTTTGCAATTACATCGTAGTTCAACAGTCGAGAAAAAACTACTGCCAAAACATTGAAAAGATAAATAGAAAGATAAAGCTTTCGGCATTTGAGGTATGCGCCATGCATTCAACTTCATCGACCGTTCCAGAGGTGATTAAATGCATATAGACTGCCAAGACTTGCGGTGCCCTACATCAAGTTTGTGCTGCCATCTCGTTAAATAAGTATGGTAGCAATTTGTCAACCCCGGAGCGATGGAGGGCTTGGTGGCCGAAGGAGCAGGATGAACCAGTGACCATTTTTTTATTCAAGGCCACCCCTAACCACTACTCTATACGCACCCCTCCACCCTACTGCTCAAACATATGCAAGGAAAACGAAATTCCAAATCCGACAAAAACTTCCGAGCAACCTCATACAATGCGGAAAAAAACAACGGAATGCTATTAAATTCAGAGATAGCAGCGGTCAGACAGCTAAGAATTAAGGACTAAAGAGATTTTTAAAAATTGAAGAATTAAAACCTTGTGTTTTCTAGTCGCATTTTAAGGGAAACTAGACAAATATACATAAATATGAGATTTTCCTTGATTTGGGTCAACGTAACAAATTAACGTTGTTCAGTTATCTGATAGACATTCAATGACCTTAGCATCTTATCCCAGTTCGTGTCTTTTTTCTTTCAAAGAAACATCTCAAAGACTTCAGAATTGTTCTTTTAGCTTATGTATTCTTGTCACTTCATACTAATCAGAAACCACCTTATCACAGACTGTATTGATTGCACCGTGTGAGATATTCTGTCATGTTTTCACAGCAATCCACCAACCGATCAGTTAGATCAGACATAGTTTGTCACAATGATGGAATGCTTATCGCACAGAAGTCACCACTGCAATAAGAGATTGTTTTCTTGCGAACACTCGAGGAAGTATCCTTCTGAAACATAGAATGCTAAAACACTGAAGACAGAGAAAAAACCATAAACATAGATTAAAATGGTTCAAATAATTATACCGCAATACATACTTACATTTGATAGATTTTTTTCTACCAAAAAAAGAGAAGGTTTTTAGAAAGGAAACCAACTGTGGATGATTATCATGTTTTTCACACTGATTGAAACACAAAAACGAGCTAACAATAACGCGATATCAGAATCATCTAAGAGCACGAGCGCAACCACTATCAGTATATCGATAAGCATGTTTTCTGCAAAGTGGTGCAAACAGCACTACGTGCATATAAAACGGTTTCAACATTAGCCTAAACCCAACACAATGAGATGTTATCGATTGACTTTAGTAAAATGGCTCTGATTTGTGATTATTTGAAAAAAAATAATCCAATATATTATTGCAAACACCGAAAAAAAGCCTCGAAATCACCATATTAAGGGAAGTAGATGTTCGTATTAAACCTACCGCTTTGTTCATTAACTCAAGCTGCAAAAACGCTACAAATAAAGTAACGATCGGAAAAAGTAAACCCGTCATAAGAAAGTTTCTCTGTTCAGAGCCATGCCACCTTACAATCCGAGAAATTTCTTCTTAGCTCTTGGAACGCTCCTATTCGCTTATGGTGGGCATTCCGCTTTTCCAACAATCCAACACGATATGAAAAATCCGGCTGAATTCACGAAATCAGTCATTCTTGCATTTAGCAGTGAGTCCACACATCTGTCATCAGTTCTTTAAAGCCAATATTAGTCACTTATTTTTTCACTGTTCTATAGTTTACGTCGAAATTGTAATAACAAGTGCTTACCAATCATAGTGATCTAATTTGTTTATAGGATTGCAGATTCTGTGAGCAATATTATAAGTTTACAGTTATGGCAGTAATGTACGGTCCCGTTTGCATAATGGGTTATTTGACCTATCACGACGCTATCCGTGATTCAATCATTCCTTCTATACAGGTATTTGGAATCGATACTAGAAAAACTGGAAAAGTATTAAACGGTAGTTATCTCAGACAGTGTGGATCCAACAAGCATGCAACATTCTTATTACTGTACACTGCATTCTCACCTTAACGATCGTCTTCAATCCGTTAAATCAGGAACTTGAGGACCTCTTCAGATGTCCACATCGTTAGTTTTGTACGGTTTTTTCACCTCTTCATAGATTCTAGGACACCTTAGAACAAAAGACAAAGGCGAACAATGACCAGACCAGAAGAATAAAAGGCCACAAAGTTTTCTGCAAAAATATGTGTCAATGCATTTCATAAGATAGATGTCCATTGGTTCTCGCACAGAAATCAAACATCTAGAACTTAAGAAGACTTCTTTATCAGAAAAGAAGAAGAAAAGAAATTGCGACCTTAATGAACAGCGAAATTCGCCGAAGATCTTAACGAATCTCAGATTTCTGCTGGCAACGAGTCTTGATCCGATCCGGAACCATGCTTGTTGTCGTTTTCGTCGCTGAGACTGTTCCGAACTTTGGACCGTTGCTTGATCTCTTTGGTATCCATTTTTGTTATTTGTAAATGCTAAATAAAAATGCACTTAACTCTTCAAAGAAATGAAGTGGAATTCACGTTTCTAGTCAAAATCGACTAAAAACACTTTTACAAATGCGCATAAAACAGATAAAGTACTGTATGCTAGTTTTCTCAATTTCGTATGCAACAAGTGTGAGATTCTGTTCCAACTTTAGGTTGTCGTATAAGCATACGGCTTGCAATGAAGAATTAGACAGCACTAGCACTAGGCATCCTTAACGATGACAGCGCATGTAGGGTATTGGTTAGAAGTGTCCTCTAATACATACGTGGTATTTGCTTCAATCCCACGCCCGGTCTCAACATGTCTTCCATTATAGCAGATTCGGTAAATTGGTAGCAGACTTGTCTGGGAGGACAGCAGCATTGACTTGATACAACGATAGGCAACCGCTGGTCAATGTATAGGCCAGTTAGGGGATCAGTCACGTCCAAAGAACCTTAATGAAGTCGAGGCATGACGCATCTCTCAGAGACTGATCAACGTTAAAAACTTTACCCTTTATTTTTTATTGCTCATGATCGCAACTTAATAAATATGTATGTGTAGCTTTGCACAATATGCTGCACTTAAGGAAGTCGAACTTTCTTCGTAACCGACGTTCTATTTCAAGGATTTTTCAAAAACTATCCACTAAGTGGACGATGAATCGTCGTCGAAATATTATCAATGAATTCCACCCCGACCTACGGAATAGCAACACATTTAGTTATGGCTCAATTTAAGAATGGTTGCATATAAGACCTTCTATCGATGAATTCAGGTGGTTCAACACTAACGTTAACGTCAGTGATACTACCATGTCTTTTCTACCTCTACTTAAACACCTGGAAAATAAAGCAGGAATCACTCAATGTGAAGAACGATTCGCCAGCTACATTGAGAGAGTGGGTTCTTTTTCGATTTTAAACGTACTTTTCAATATCGCCTTAGTTATTTCGTTTAAAATCGTCGTAAAATCCGACCTGAGCGGCAGCTTTAAGTATGCGGAGCGAAAGGAATTTTTGAAGACGTGCGCCTTTATTGAATGATAAAGTTGATGTATTACCTCGTGCCAATATAAGAAGAGGATTTCAAGTCGTAAAACGACATCCGTTCTTCTCCTCAAAAGTGGAATTTTCCTTTATAAAGACGTGTTGGCGATACGAACTCAATAAAAACGCGTCCATTTTGCGTCGATTTCATATTCTATTCTCTTTATAGCTTACGTTACAAAATTTTTTTAATCTCGAAACGAAGCAAACTTCCAGAAGTACTTTTCAGCGCGCTTATGAGGTGAGAGGTGGTGCAGCTGGAGGATAGGGCGAAATCATGCGATTTCCCGTTAAAATAAATGCTAGGGAGCAGTCAGATGTATGATACAATTCACGCAATTGTCAACTGAGAACGGATCTTTGCTCTACGAATAAGGGTGCTTTCACAACGTTTGCACATTCAAGTAAATATTGTTTACCCGTCTTCAATTGTCGTAAATTCTAGTCCCGAAATGTGGTATACGACTTTTTTGCTCGTACAATGGCCGTTATCACGAATTCTTGGGCAGCGCAGCTAGGATAGGATCACCAAAATATGTCACACGTTGACGTTTCCATGTTAATGGGAGATTTTTCACCTTAAAAGTATACCTGTATTAAGCGGGCTCTGCTTCTCGATATAGATTTTTTCTCATCTGGTATCCCTAATAGAAACGCCGCATGTTGTACAGCTTAGGCAGCTCAGATTATAAGTGAAGGCTCTCCTCTATACCGTTGCATGTGTCTTCGGAAACTTGAGCTTTGAGAAAACTCCTTACAAAGTTAACCTTTTCACTTACTGCCAATTCTTTTTAACGGTAGGGTATGTTGCGAGATATAACTTCTGTAATGCTGAGATATTTGCAAAACTCCGGATTGTAGGTGTATGCAGTGGAGAACGAAAGCGCTATTGTCCTTTCCGGGGAGTAACGCGTTCACCACCACAACATGCGGGTCCCTCGTTTCGCCCGTCTCTCAGTTAGTTCTATCGATATTTTGCCATCAGCAATCACCCGTCAGCGGAATTGATCTGGGAGGTCCAAATCGGCATTGAACCCAGTTAAGCTGAGGCTATAGTTATAATCATAATCTTAACCTTTTTATTTACTGCCAATTATTTTTAGTTCTTTCAATTCTTGTAATTTAGCATTACAGAAGTTATATTTCGCAACATACTTTACCGTTAAAAAGAATTGGCAGTAAATAAAAAGGTTAAGATTGTGATTATAACTATAGACTCAGCTTAACTGGGTTCAATGCCGATTTGTCCTCCCCAGATCTATCCTTACAAAGTGTTCAAAAAATCGCTCAGCGTTAATTAATGCTTCATGGACGAGCAATATACTCGACTCCACTAAGCATTGTAAAAGTAATTAAATATTTCGTGGAAACAGTGACCTGTGAAGCACAATGGTGAATAGAGGCAGTGTTTTATATCTTCACAGACTACTAGGGTGCCAATTTTTGGACTCCACTGGGATGAGAGGCTTGCTTTAGGTGTGATCGAACCTACGACTTTGTGTGCGCTGCTTGGCATCTTCAAACACGGCACTATAATTTCTTAAACTCTTAAATAAAAAAATTAGTTACTTAAATGAACTGTCGAAAAAGTACACAGCACATTATTCACTCTCTTAATAACGAATTTTTTCAGTGTGTTCAAGTACACACCACGAACTACACTCATTACTTGTATCTCAATCATGTGTAAGTCTTACTTTACAGAACCTTCTTCTCAATCCCTTGATATATGATCATAAGACTCAATTTCACTATATTTTGCTAGTTAACATTCAATTGAATTTCGCAGTTATTACTTATTTGGATGTCAGATTCTTCAGCCACCATGAAGTCTTCAAATCGAAATCACCCCTCAAAAACCTTAACATCTACAATTCGCAGCGGATTTACCAGTAATGACAAATTTTTATGCTCAAAGCAAAAGCTTTTAAGAAAAAAAAACGAGAAACGAAAGAAACAGCAGGGAAAAGCTTGAGAACAGAACAAGATTGTATTTGGGCAACGAAGGTTCACCTCTACACCAAATACATCTCAAATCGTAGAAAGTGCTTTATTTTTCGTCAATCACATTTCAGTTATTATATTGATCTCTAAACATCAGTAATTAATTTATCAGCTGTAACAGATGGATCAGAGAAGAAAACATAATAGATCCATCAAAATCATCAATCGTGGAAAAGGACGTCAAAAAATTTCAGTATTCGGGCTACTGGGAGGTGCTGCGGCCACGTTTTCAGCTATTGTGGAGCTGACAAGCACGAATTTCTTATTACCATGTTACGTCAGTCCCTTCTTCAAAAAGGTATTAATTTCAGGAAGAATAAAAGAAAATCTTCCTCGTTAAATTCATTATTATCACTATTATTAGCACTTTAAACCACTAATATTACTCTTATTAATATTATATTATTATATTATTACCGCAGCAATTTTTTATGCTTGTAGTCAACAGCTTAACGTAAAGGTTTTCCAACCTTCCTATACATAGATCACGTCTAATCGTATTTATTCTAGGTTATTCTGGAAAATACTACTCTCGTAAGTGGACTTTATATAGAAAAATGTTGGAGATTCCTTACCAAAATCCATCCATCAGCGTTCTTCCTCTGAAGATGAATCTCATACCGCCACTAACCGATTTCGTTAATAAGGGTTTTTGTGTGTATTACAGAGAATAGAAGCACGTTGATAGCGAAGAAAATGGGAAGGATTCTCTCTAGAAATCACATAGATTACGAAATCGCTGGCATTCTAACGCTTATTAGCTTAACATGTTTGTATCGTCAACTAAAGCCACTTTAACCTCGTTTCTGTAGCAAGCAACCATCGTTTGATTTTGGCACTGCTTACATCTTTAATTGCTTAAATGATCCATTTAATGATAATAAAAGGGACTTCTATAGAAAAAACACGTAATAATTTTAAAAACCAGTTCCAAATTTGGAACTCTAGCAAAATGGGTGAGGCAGGAGAGTGTAGCAGAGCAGTGGTAGTGATACCGTTTATCACGAACACGGGGCTACTAGGAACCAGATGAGGGCTCAATAAGCCTCTCACCCCTCTAGGGACGGATTTGTACAAGGCTTGTCCGGGAACAACTCATTCCCAGGAGTCCAATTGAAAACGCTCTAGTCCTCCTATCCCAGGACTCTTGGAGAGTCGAACTCACCAAGACTCACATTCACGAAGAAGACAGCAATCCTCAATTGTCAGTCAAACACACAATTGAAAAGCTTGAAAAACTCCGTGAAAGGTGGACGACTGCCAACGAATCGAATGCAAGAAGTACTGAGATACGTATGTAAGGTGTAAGGAACGGTTTGTGCAAAATAAATAAATAAGTTTAGAAAATAATTTGCCCTAAGATCATATGAAAAGCATGCTCACCATCGGGATAATCACAATAAGAAACAACACACTGTAGACTTACCATATATGAGTTTTAGGAATTTTCTTCATGGCCCTATCTGACGAGTCACGATATATGGTGAAAAGTGAAGATAATCGGAAATAGATTACTACATCACTTTTAAGTTATTATTGAGAATACCACGAATTCGCAACGACTGCCCCCAACTTCTGAATTGTGCTGCTTTCTCTCACACACTCACCGACGCTTACTTACTCACTAATTATTTATTACTAAGTAATTTAATTAGCGATATGTTCAGCAACATCCAGCTAACAGTGGTGCGAGTGTCTATTGCTGTGGTCCCTATCAAAATCTCACTCATAACGGACTCACAAGCCAATGCGTTCCTATGCCAACGAATCCATTCTACGGATAAAATTTCAAAGAATAATCTCTAAAGTTTTAAAATTCTGATTGCTATTTTATGGCAAACATTGTATATAATACTAAGTTTATAAAAATTGTAAATAAATTTTGAAACTTCGTGACAAGTGTTCGTTCCAGACATTGTTAATGTTCATTTCAAAGCTTGTTTTATCCCTGAATACCTGCCACTTAATTCTTTACATTTTTGTTCAGCAAACTTGAGCTGTTATTTTATTTCTTCATAACGATGAAGCTGACGTCTCGTCAGATTTCGCCTTCACGAGAACCTGGAAAGCTCACGTTGACTGCAATCTACCCAGCCAAACCTCCATAACCAAACAGAGGAAGTGATAAACCAAGACTTCAATAGCATTCAAAACGAAATAACTTCTTAGCACACTTATCGCTTTCTATAAGTCTTCCACTGAGTATGTCACTTGGAGACCAACCGGAAAGACTTCACATGAAAGCGTAATATGCCTTTCACATAACAATAACAATCTTAAACACTGTGAGATATCATGCATCATTGCGAAGCTTTCCTCCCTGCTGTTCATTTTCAGATTCATGTAACATACCCAGAATGCCTCGAGAGTTCTGTGCGTCGGCACTTCTCTTCCTGTACAAGGATTGTAACTTCTACTTCAAAATCTTCCTTGCTACGTCTCTGTCTCTTATGCAAGCCTAATAGAGTATCTGGTTTAACCTTAATTTTACCAACTAGGTGTTCTTTTATACGGACACAAAGTGGTTTACCCGTTTCGCCAACGTATTCATCCCTGCACGCTTTACAAAAGATCAAATAACCCGTATCCGAACTCATCCAATCTTCGTCTCAACAGTTAGGGCAAATTATGCAATTTTTGCGTTGTAAATAGACGGTCATAGGAGTTGCGAAGTAACAGACTTCTTAGAGTGCTCGGTGATAGTTCAATTACTATTACAGAATTTTCTACACTGGCTCTTCTTAAGTAACATTTTTTAGTTGCAGTTACTTTGTTTGAAATGGAGGGCAAGATAAACGGGGCTTATAACTGCTAGAGTTGCCGTTTGGATGGCCAGGTTCTCCTCCTCACCTAGCACGAGGGGATATAATTTTGTAGGCATTGGACACGGCTATTTGCCGTGCGAATTTTCGGGATTCCTCATTCTGCTCTTTTTCTGTGCACACGCTTTTGGTTGCTTGAATAACGTTTCTTACAAGCGCCCTTTTTGTGTGAGAGGGGTGAGAGAAGAGGTAATGAATTAGTGCGTTTTTGTTACTTGGCTTTCTGTACTATTTGGTGATGTAACTGTTTTTGGACGGGTTGATTTCAACTACCAAAAACAGAAGTTAGCTTTTTTTCGGTTCCTCTTCGGTTTGACTTACGTACTTTGACTCTTCGTTGAATAACTCAAAACTGTCCATTACCTATTCTGCTGAGCAAACGACAAAGCATTGATCTATATATCTACAGTAATCTATCCGAAAACGACATTACGAAATGGCACCGGAAGTCAAATATTAAAAGCATGCTCGTTCACTGCTTCTCCTCTCACTCCTCTCACAGAAAAAGGACGCTTGTAAAAACATGTTTCGAACAACCCCAGGGTCTGCAGAGAAAGAAAGCAGAACGAGGATTCTGGAGAAATTCCAAGAACCTGAAATTAACCGCAGAGAAGAGTGCCTAGTAAACACGCGTGATATCACACAGTATTCAAGACTGTTATTTTCATGTGAGAGGCACATTAGGCTTCCATGTGAACTATGTGCGGTTGGTCTCCACGTAACATACTTAGTAGAGGACTTATAAGAAGCGGTGAGTGCACTAAGAAGTTACTCTGCTTTCAATGCGATTGGAAACTTGATTTAGCACTTTCTCAGTCTGGTTATGAAGGTGCTTGGATAGATAGATCACAATCAACTTGACATTCCCAGGCTCTCAGGAGGGCGACATCTGCGGCTTCATCGTAATAAAGAAATGAAAACCTCTTGTTTGCTCAACAAAAATATAAAGAATTATTAGAACGATGCCGAGGTTAATAGAAAGCCAGTCGTGGGAATTTTCAATTAATTTCTTCCGACACTCAATGGACGATGTTTCTACACAACAATGACGATTCAACAATGATTTTCGAAGACAATGAGAAAGTGAAAAGGCTTAATAAATGGGTCACAGAAGAATCGAGCGAAGGTGACAAAAATGTTGTTTCGAAACCCGTTATGTGCTTCTCTTGCATAAAGACGATCAACTGCAACATATGATGAGAACTGGATCCTGTACATCAACCCACAGTGTCAAGCATGGATGATTAAACTGTTATAATGTTCATGCTAAGACAAACTCACATTGAAAAAAATCATTTGTAATCGTCTTTTTATTCACATCAGATTGAATCATGAAATAAAACGTCTTAAATTTTGCTAAACCGATAAGAGCAAAGAAGCAGTGCTATGTGAAATCGATGAGATCCTACAAAAATTATGGCGCACACAACAAGAAATGGCCAAAAGAGTAGTCTATACTTTCTCACAACAACACTTTAATTCACGTTGCATAAGCAGTGATGCAGAATTTGAAAGAATTACGCTACAACCCTATCTCACCCAATATATCAATGAAATCTCTTGCTAACACTCTCTTCAAATATTCTGACTACCAGGTAGGAAAGTCTTTGCTAAAGAGCTAAAGCCTCTGCAAAAGATGTCCTTGAATAATTTCTCCTGTCCAGAACTTCAGAATTCTGAGTTGCGGAAATAGAAAAAACTGTACACCGTTTACCGAAATATATAAGTTCCAATGGCTCCTATTTTTATTGATAAAGTTGTGTCTGAGCTGGGTTATAAATCTTACAGTTTCCGCTCAAAACCAGCCATAACTATTTTTAATCGGCCTTATAGTAGCTACCAGGTGTTAATATATGATAACATAAAACTTTTAAACATTGCAGTCTCGTGCTAGTAATCTCATTCAAGAGGCTCTACGTGACCTTGCGAAATCATCTCGTCCACTAGTAGTCAACAAAGATGGCATCACTACTTGCGTGGTAGTAGTAAATCCTATATTTAAACACGAATTAAAACCGATAAGGTCTAAAATCCTGATGGACTGTGCAACTTCATCGACACCAGTTGCTTTCAATACAAAATGCGAGAACTGGACAATTAATTTTTAGAACATGGAACCATAATCGGATTTCGGCTTCTACATCACCTTCAGGCGGACGGTCAGTTTTTCACTCCTACTTTCATTTTTGATTTCGGTTTTAAAGCTGCACCCGAATTAACTAGCAGAAAGACTGATAGAAGAAATCGCTGCTAATAAGATACTGTCCTCAGACCCACATCATTGTGAAGACCTGAAAACGCTTTTGAAAGGTAAATTAATAGCCAGCAACAGGCCAGGTACACTACACACTGGGATGACGTCAGGTTATGAGATAACCGCTGAGAGGCCACAAAATCTCTACGCAGTACGTCATTAGAATCGGATCTGACGAACATACGCACGACACGCCATGGAGATTGTTTCTTGCTCTCCAACCAGAACACTTCTCTCATGCGCCGATCTTCATGCTCTTCTTGC